TATCTGAAAGTTAAATTTCTTACAAATGGAACTCTACGTCAGTGCATAACTGCTACAGCCAATCTGAAAGTTAATGTTTTAAAAAATAAAGTCAGGAAAACTGCTTTGGTGCATGACTGCTGAAACCTATCTGTGAGTATAAAAAGACTTTATTGAAAATAAGTAGACAGAATATGTCTAAATTGAACAATGAAAGATTATCTTAATATATATATATATATATATATATATATATATATATATATATATATATATATATATATATATATGAAGATACGTTGCTCTTAGTAGGACGAGAAAGAAGCAGACTCTGAAATTACTCAGACCTTCCAAAGTTTATGCAAAAAATATTGTGTTTTGGGAACTTTTGCAGAAAATATAATTTTGCTTGTAAATATGTAATATTTATGGGGCTAATATACGGATATCTTCCCTGAGGTGTTTATAAATTGTACACTGTTTAATTACTAATGCTAACAATGAACTATCAAAAATGACCAAATTGTATTTGGATTAAACGAAAATTACTTACAATCTGATATTACTTCCTAATTAAAATATCAAGCCTTATTTCATCTTCATTTAGGAATTCATAATTTTCGCTTGAGGATGAAACATGGCTTGACACTTTTTATTCAATTTAATTTTAATAATTATATTGATGTTTCCGGATCTTGTTTTTGAAACATGAGAACTCTTATGTAGCGAAGGAATCATATTTTTTTAAATAATTATAATTTAAACTCTACTTCTGTATGGAGCACTGTTTTTTAAAAATAAAACAAAAATACTAAAGAACTCCAGATTATTTACCTAACGCGTTCTTTCCTATTTTTCTACATATCTGCATATATATATATATATATATATATATATATATATATCCTACTTATTATAAAACCCAGGTTGTGTGTGTGTGTGTGTGTGTGTGTGTGTGTGTGTGTGTGTGTGTGTGCGTTCGTTTATATATTTTTCAACCGATTTCAACAAAACTTCACAGGACTACGTAAAATTACCTTGCGGTGGTTCTGACAGTGCCAAAAAAAAAAAGGAAAAACACAATTGTTTTTGCACGAAATCAATTTGAAAACACGATTAAGTCGCCAGAATGAAAGGGGGACAACTCATATCGAGTTATACTTATTATAAAACCCAGGTTGTTTGTGTGTGTCTGTTTTCGTTTATATATGGGATCCGATTTCCTACATTTTTCAACCGATTTTAACAAAACTTCACTTATTTTTTGGCAGGTAGTGTTTCTTATTGTCTTGCACACTTTTTTCTTTATTTTTACATTAAGAATGCTTTAAAAATTCCATTTACAAGACAATTGTTTATAATAAAATTCTATTCGGTAGAGTTTGGGTTTGACCAATTCGTTACAAGAAAAAAAAAACTAATTAAGACATGTGTGTCCGTCAACCTTAAACAATAATCTTTGTCAATTTTATTTTTCAGTCTTTATGATGGTCGATACTTGATCTCTTACTGTTACATCCCAGGGCAACGCCGGGCTCTGCTGCTAATATATATATATATATATATATGAGGGGTGACTGTTCTGTTAAATAAAATATCCTAATTGTTCCAATTATATTTCCGTATGTACGGATTGACATTATGAAAGAACAGTCCACAGGTCATGACCGTTTATTAATTTCAGTCATTGTCAAGAATTAAAATCGTGTGAGAGTTTTGCGCCGCCATTGTAAATATGTTATTTTAAGCCTTTGAATGCATTCGATGTCACGTGAACATGATGTTACTTTTTAATCTAAATGTTTGGAATGTGACGTGAATATGGCGTCGTATGAATTCTGAAATTTTAAATAGATTTCAAGATTGCGTGTTCTTAAATTAGAAGTAATTGTTGGTTGTTTTAAGTTAATGAACCTAATACACTCAATTTATATATATATATATATATATATATATATATATATATATATATATATATTGAACAATAAAAAAAATATTAAAAAATTAAAGTCGTTTGACACACTGGGTTGTATATTAATATTCTTTCGTTTTTTTTATTATTATTTCATTTAGATTCCTCGACTAGTTTCGGCCAAAATGGCCATCACCAGGAGAAGAAATATTTCTGCTTGCTGGTAGCAGTAAACTACAGAAATGAATGTCTTGCTGGAGAAAATGAACTTTTGACTGTAGTTTTCATTTTTTTTTTAACATGAATCTTTTAACATTCCTTGTGTTGGTCAAACAGCCTCTTTTAAGTTGTTATTTGAGATAAGAGCTGGATGGATTTATGCTGCTCTGAATTCCCTTGGTCAGTTTGACAGTTTTATTGGTTCCTGGAGAGGGGATGTGTCTCTGTTTTGTGTTTGTGTCTGTGTTATTTGGTTCTTAGGGAGTGAGTGAGTATGATATGTGTAAGTGTGTGTATTGCTGTGGGTGTGTGTTATCATTTGGCTCCTTGGGGAGTGAGTGAGTGAGTATGATGTGTGTAAGTGTGTATATTCGTGTGGGTGGGTGTATAAGTGTGAGGCCTCCACACCTTCGTAAGCATGTCTCTCTAGTGTGGGTGAGAAATGTCGGTAGGTTTTGATTTGTTGAGTTATATATTACTACTATCTATATTGTTAAATTTATGGTTTAGCCCGGCTGGATATTGTGTTTTTAGACGTTGTATCCACTTATTTTCATGGGACTCTAAAATCTTTACAATGTTATCTGCTCTGAACTTTTTTATTCTCTCAATTATAGTGAATTTGGCATGGGTTTTGAAATCATGTTTTTCCAGGCGGAAATGTTGTTCTACAGGTAATAATTTTTCATGGGGAGTCGATTTAATTCGCTTACGATAATTATTAATTCTGTAGTGAAAGGGCCATTCAGATTTTCCTACATATTGTTTCTGGCATAGTGCGCATTCTAGGAGGTAAATTATATTATGACTTCTACAGTTAGAATCGTGGTAGATTTTGAAAGTAGATTTAGTGATTGAGCTAGTGAATGAATTCGTGTTTAGTATGGTTGCAGCATAAACTTCTTTTGTTGTTACATGGTTGGGAAAATCCTGTTGTTTTTGTTCTTAGTTCATTACGGATTACCTGGTCCCCTGAAATGTGTTACTACCTATGATTTCTTTTAGGTTCTTAGGTCTACGATATGCAAGAAGGCCGGGTTCCTTAAACAGTTTTTTTTAGGTCTGGTTTGAGATGTAGTATTTCCCAGCGACGTTTGATTATTTGGGATAGTGGGGTTGAAAGTGGTTACTAGAGGGATGCGGCTAGATTTATTTTTAATCTTGTACATTAGGGTGTCTTCTCTAGGTGTGGAAATTGCTTTATTTATTTGTTCCCTGATTAGGTGTTGTTTATAGCCACGTGTTGTGAATTGATGCTCCAGATTTTCAATGTGTTTATTTAATTCTTCATTGTTGGAACATATCCTTCTGAGTCTAAGTGCTTGTGAATAGGGAAGGTTCTCTTTAAGGTGTTTAGGGTGGGAAGACTTAAAGTGTAGATAGTTGTGGGTGTCGGTGATTTTTTGGTGTGTAGCGTCGTTTGTAGTTTCCTGTTTTCATCTATGTAAATGCGGGTGTCTAAAAAATGTTACTGATGTTGTGGATTTTTCATAGTCAAACTTAATTGAGTCGTGCACTGTGTTTAGGGTCATAAGGAATTGGGTAAGTTTGTCATCACTACCCGTGTATACAAAGAATATATCATCGATATATCTTGCATAGAATACGCAGTCGCTACCAATGATTGGATAGATATGGGTTTCCTCAAATTTTCCCATGAATATTGTAGCATATGATGGAGCTGCAATGGTGCCCATGGCGCAACCTCTTATTTGAAGGTAGTGTGCTCCATTGAAGTTGAAAGTATTCAATGCTGCATGAGTTTTATGATGACTTCTGTGGGGCGGGGGGAGTCTTGTTTTCTGCTTTTAGTAAGTGCTTCCTGAAGTGCTTTGATATGTTTAATGTTTGAATAGAGTGACCTAACGTCCATAGTCACTAGAATAGCATTCTCTGGAACTGTTTGTATGTGTTTAATTTTGTTCAGTAGATCTGTTGTGTCTCTGATGTAGGATTTTACTTCCTTAGCTAGCGGTTGTATGTAATGGTCTATGTATTTGGAAATTTTTGTCGTGTGGCAGTTGAACGATGAAATAACTGGCCTTCCTGAGTTGTTGCTTTTGTGTATTTATATATATTGACCACTAATATTATCAATATCTATCTATCTATCTATCTATCTATCTATCTATATATATATATATATATATATATATATACACACACAGAGGGTGCGAAGAATAAGTTGTCATCTAAATTACGCAAAAATGAAAATAACACTAATATCTCATTTCAACAGATGTATTTACCAAAATTACACAAAAAATACCTTGAAATATGAAAGAGTAAATTTATTCAATAAAATCATCATTGGTTTCAAACACGGCCTCAAAACGACTTCGGGATCTCCTGCGACTCTTCTGTAATTAGGAGAAAAGTAGATAGCGATTGACATTGCATTGAAATTGGTTTGAAAGCAAGGAGCCGGAAGTCAAGAAGCTTTTAGCATAAGATTTATGGTTACATCGAGCCAGCTCAGCTGCAAATTGATGAGACCACATCGGCATTCTAGTACTTCACTTAAATTTGAAGTGTCTAAGCACCACAGCAAAGAGATTATCTGAACAGTTACCATGAAATCATTTATAGAAAAGGCAGAGGGAGGCAACCTTACGGTGATGAGGAAAGTGACCGAAGCTGAAATGCCAGATCAGAATTGATAATATTTTGATTCTTCTTTGGACTTTATGAAAGATCTCTAGATAAATAGCCTATATATATATATATATATATATATATATATATATATATATATATATATATATATTTACTTATTTTAAATATGGTTCAATCACTACACAGGAATTACCATGTTTTAAAACAGAAAGTAAAATCCTCAAGTTCAATTATAGAATTAAATTAAAGACCCTACTCCTGTTTCATTTTCAAGTGAATTTTGGAATCTATCTATCTATGTACCTATCTATCTATCTATGTATCTATCTATCTCTGTTCATAATTATCTCTCTATGTGTCTATCATCTATCTCAGTCTGTTCATATCTATGTATATATTTCAATCTGTTGATCTATCTATCTATCTGACAGTCTGTCTAACATGCAAACACACATACACAGTCACAGTTACATTATATATATATATATATATATATATATATATATATATATATATATATATATATATATATATATATATATATATATATATATATATGGAATGATGGAGGTCCGTTGGAGTAATGCACAGCCGCTCGGATTGAGGAATAGGAGAGCCGAGTTCGAATTTGACTTACGTGCTAATATCGTTGGGAAAGGTATGAATCCTCCTTTTCTCACAGGATAGACTGGGTTCTATAGCCTTGGATGGCAACTGGTCTAGGAGAAGAACCTACGCGAGGGTCGTTTTAGGAACCTTGGATGGTATGTGCACCAGATTTGGCTCTTCAAAAAGTGTGGTCGGTTCTGCACAAAGCCTTCACCATGATAATCAAATCATATATGCAGGTGTCTGGCTGTCGGTTCTTAGGAACTGGGCTGCTTGACCCTCATACGTGGGAAAAACGACGGGAAAGTTCAATATATATATATATATATATATATATATATATATATAGTTTTTGAAAAACTAGGTAATCCGTATGGGTAAACCTAAGGAGAATACAATCCAGAGAGCTCAATTTAAATTCAGAGCAAATAATTTAAATAAAAATAATTTCTTAAAGAGATTAAAAAACGATTACTAAAAGTAAACTTATATTTTAAAATAAATTTTTATTCTTTTAATGTACTTTCTATGAATATTTTTCTAATCGACTATTTCATAGAAAATCCCAAAAATTTAAAAATAAAATTAAATCACGAACAAACATCAAATTAAATTATTTGTAGACAGTCTAGAGACATTCAAATTTATATCGAACATTATAATCTTTATGAACCCCCAAAATAACATTTTCAAAGTAAAGCAAAATAACAGCCTATTTTTTTACAAAGAAAATTAGTGACATCTTCTTCCCTCTTTTTCTTTCTATGGTTTTTTCTTCTCTACCCCTTCGATTTCAATATATAACTTCCGTTAAGGTAACCGTTTAAATGTGTCAATATTTGCTAACTCACTCATGTCTTCTCTCTCCCCCTCTCACTTCCTCACTTCGTTAATTTACATGTGTTTAATACGGCCCGTCAAAAATGTAAAATTTTCTTTTCATTTTTGTTTGGTAGTAAAATCTGATGATCCACAGTCCTTTTAAAAAGGGCTGTGGTGAAATAATTATTACATGGAACCTTAAAATGGTCTGTTTTTATTTAAATTATATATATATATATATATATATATATATATATATATATATATATATATATAAACTTCCATGCAAGCAAAAACAGGCTATCATTATTGTTTTGTCCATGTATTGATTAATATATTGTAATTGTCATCTTTGATAATGGCTTATGTAAGCCGAAAGCTTAGATAGGATTAAAAAATATGTATCAATATGGTGATTTTCTTTCCTCTTTCAATGATAATGTTATTAAGCTTATAAGATATGAAAAGAATTTGCATAAAATAAATAGACAAAACTTTTCTATATTATTTAATGAAACATGCATCAATATATATATATATATATATATATATATATATATATATATATATATATAATCCTAGTAAGCCAGGATTTCTTACCCTGAATATCCATTGAGGTGAATAGCGTAATAGGTAGTTCCTGGTTCACTAGAATTATTAAACACGGCTCTCCTTTGCGTATTGAACACTTTACGTTTTTTCTTATTTACTGTTAAGGGGTCCACCCCTTTTTATACAAGTGGACTTGACCAGTGCGTACTTGTACTGCTGTTGGTGAATACCCGGAAGTGAGACAGTGAGGTAAGCGCTTTGTAGGAGTCACAGTTGCGAGCACGTAGACTCAGAAGGAAGTCATACTTCGATACTAAATTTCCCAGACGGTATATATATTATTATTGCTACTAACTGCATTTCTGGATCTACTAACCGTATTACCAATTGTATTATTACGTCAATACATTTATTTGCTATATTTCATTCCTGCGTTTGTCATTCATTTGAGACCGGATTTCATCCTGGAATCAACAACATTTACTCGATTGTTTTTTTTTCTTTCTTTGAACTCGAAATTACGGCACTGGACGATGTTTTTCGGCCTACTCGGATGTTTTAAGTCCTTTCTTTATTTTTCCAAAATTTTTCCCAGATACCTATTTGTTTTAATATATTTTTATTTGCAAATTGTATTATCAGGTTCTTTTCACACCAACCGATTATAGTTATTAACATTATATATATATATATATATATATATATATATTGATAATATTAGTAGTCAATATATATATTATTTATATTATTCGGACTATTGTCCTCATCTTTCTCTACATATTTATTACAACGTTTCGGCCGTTGTACGCTCCAGCCTTCTTCAGGTCGTTGGAATGTCGAACTGAACCTTTTATTTCGCTCACTGGGGTAGACTGTTCTAGTTCCACGAAAGTTAGACGATTTCTTCAAAGATGAAGAAGAGACTCGAGGCAACGGAGGTATGGTTGTACAGAAGGATGCTGAGGATATCATAGATCGAACGTGTGAGCAACGATGAGGTCTTAGAGAGGATGCAAACAAAGAGGAGGCTTATACTTAGCATCAGGAAGAGGCGGCTGAAGTTTCTGGGACACATCATGAGGAAGGAGGGCTTGGAGAATCTGATACTCACGAGTCGAATAGCGTGAAAGAGAGACAAAGGAAAACAACGCCTGACATACCTGGCGGACTTAAGCAAGTGGATGAAAGAACGTGGTCTGGGGGAGGAAGCAGAAGGAAGGGACTTGCTGAGAGCTGCAAGGGATAGAAAGAGGTGGAGAGCCATGATCGCCTACGTCCTGAAAGAACATAGCACATAAAAAAATTGTGTAAAAATGTTCTCAGTGTATTTTATTTAAAAGCCAGTGCTTACTTTGTTTGGTTCCGAGAATTTCGTTTTTGAGGATAGTGTTTGAAATCGTCTGTTTTCGATCTTCATGGAGTGCTGGTAAAGACGTGTGTTTCTGTACTACTACTACTACTACTTGTCTGCTGTACTACTCTGGGTACCCTAGTCTACACTGATCTACTGACTCTCTTATGGTGAAAGGGTCATTTTTACAATGATGAGGGTAGGATGATGAAATATCCTTCTTTTCTATCATCGCTGACGACAAGGTTATTTGTAGAATGATGTAATATGATCATCTTTCTAGACCATAACAACTACAACTTTAAGATGAGAATCTCTTCCAGGTTATAAGTTTTCGATTGACTGCTAAGAATAGGGTCCCACAGCCTTGCCCAACAACAGCGACAACAAGAGCAGTGGAAGAAAAAAGCCAGATGGCTGGAAAGAGGTTTTGAGGAGAGAACGAAAGGTAGTAGCATCCTCTTTCCAACAGGTTGTCCCACAGCAACACCAGAAGCAACCGGAACAGGAGCGACCCGAGCAGGAGCGACCAGAGCAGGAGCGGCCGGAGCAGGAGCGACTAGAGCAGGAGCGGTTGGAACAGGAGCGACCAGAGCAGGAGCAGCTGGATCAGGAGCGACCAGAACAGGAGCGACCAGAGCAGGGGCGACCAGAGCAGGGGCGACCGGAGCAGGGGCGACAGCGGCAACAATATCAAAAACAACAACATCACCAGCATGAACAAGAACAGCAGCAACAAAAACAGAAGCAGAAGCAGCAGCAGCAACAAAAGCAGCACCACCAACAACATCAAGAGAAGCAGCAGCAACAGCAAGAGCAGCAGCAACAGCAGCAACAGCAGCAACAGCAGAGTCAGTCACTACAGCACGAGAGTATATTGGTGGACGAGATACCACCATTTGTTTCAAACAATTTTTATTTTCCCAATACATAACATGACATATCCATAGAAATTTGACCCCTGAAGATGGCCTCAGACGAGATTGAAACTACTTGGGAAAAATTATTTGAAAGAAAATTTAGGAATTTTTTCTTAATCAATTTTCTACAGCCACCAAAAAAAATTAATTCCCTAATTTGAAAAGATTAAAATTAAAATAAATGTTTGGTCAAATAATTTAGACATATTATATTATACGTCTAAATTATTTGACCAAACATGCTTGAATGAAAATATGCTGCCTAAATATATATGTGTGTGTGTGCTTGAGTGAGATAGAGAGAGAGAGAGAGAGAGAGAGAGAGAGAGAGAGAGAGAGAGTGTGTGTGTGTATGTGTGTGTGTGTGTGTGTGTATTTAGGCAGCAATCCTCGTTTCATGCACATTTCATTGAACGACAGACTGGTGCTTTTATTTAGTTTCTTTTATACAATTTCTCATGTGATCTAATTTTTTTTTTCTTTTCAGATGATAAAATATATAAAAAAACTGTCCGAATGTTCTTTCTATCCGAGCGCTTTCGGCTATACATTTAGCCATTTTCAAGGTTGAAATATTTTAACTGTTAAATAAGAAATAGTTTGTTGCATGTATGTATAATTATATAGGCCACACTACAACAAATTTGACACGAAGACTTACACTATATCTTTCTGACAATAGCTCAATTAGATCTCATTTAAATATACAGGGACACCTATCGAACACTATTCGTAACTTACTTGTTGACAACACAAATATAATAGCATCATCTTACATGCAAAAAAAGTCTAAAAATAATGGAAGTCTTATCAATAAAAACAAAAAAAACAACACTCAATTATATTAATTATGAACATAGACGCAATATCTTGAGCACGTTTTGAAAATGAAAAGTTTATATAAATACATACATAAAAAAATCTGTTTCTTGTGAATTGTTAATATATTTCAACCTTGAAAATGGTTAAATGTATAGCCGAAAGCGCTCGGATAAAAAGAACAATTGGACAGTTTTTATGTCATTTATCATCCGAAAAGGAAAAAATTATTAGATCACATGAGAAATTGTTTTAAAAAAAAACTAAATAAAAGCACCTTGTCTGTCGTATTCAATGAAATATGCATGAAAGAAGAATTGCTGCCTAAACACACACACACACACACACACACACACACACATATATATATATATATATATATATATATATAATCTGTTATCCTAGTATTTGGTTGACTTGGTCAGTGCGGCGACCTTCTAATTGTCTACCATTTGTGCAATGGAAGAAAGAAAGAAACCTGTCCGTGTTTGTTCATCTAGTCATCATGTGCGTGTGGAATTGACTGTGACATTTCTCTCCTGCCAGTTCGACTCACTAACTTGGGTTTGGGGTTCTTTCTCTCTCCAAAACCAATCACCGGCTTCTTTGTAACTCAAAATGGCTGCTTTTTATTGACTCGTACCCCGACTTAACGCGATGTAGATCAAGATAATCAGCTCAGGAAAATCACATCATTAATTTCATTTTTGCAAGGCTGACTCTGTTCACGAATGCTTTCAAAAACACATGGCTTCTTGATCGACTATCGAGCCTTTTAGAATTCTCGCCCGAAAGATGTTCACTTTCAGAAAGGAATTTCCTTAAAATCAATGTAATTTCACGTATGTAATAGTTTCAGGCAACAACCTTTAGCCAGGGAATCAATGACCCCGCCAAATGCCTGCGCCTATCCTGAATAGTAGGGAAGGGACAACTTAACATCACCGACTGAACGCCGAACAACCAAAAAAACGTAACTTTTTTTTTATAACCTAAAAAGTAATTTATCAGGAATTAAAATCTTGATTAGTGAATATTTTTTAAATTATTTTTAATAAAGTAAAGCGTAAAGAAATTTATTTTTTTATTAAAGTAAAAATTGTCTCAGTCCTCACTTGTCCCGGCGTTCAAATCGACGGTGTTGAGTCGGTGGTGTTGAGTCGGTGTTGCTGAGTCGGTGGTGTTGAGTCGGTGGTATTGAATTGTCCTGCAACCTGTTAGCTATACTAATTCTTACTAAATTTCCTCGAATTTGGGTTGTTACTCCCAATGATCGCAAATCCAACTTCATTTTTGTTCTATGTACCGTGTCCCTTCAGGATGTTGGCAACTGAACCAAAATTAACTTTTTTACTTACATTGTTCGGATTGCTGTCCTCATCTTTATTATCACGTTCACGACATTTCGGCCGCTGGGCGCTCAACTCAGAAATACAGACAGATTCTGAAGAAGGCCGGAGCGTACAAGACTGAAACGTCATCAATAAAGATGAGGAAAACAGTCCGAACACTGTAAATGATGTAAGTAATTACAATACCTCATATTAGAAATATAAACAGATTCTGAAGAAGGTCGAAGAGTACAGGGCTGAAACGTCAAGAACATGGCAATAAAGATGAGGACAATGAGGACAATATAAATAATTACAATACCTCATCACAATAATGTTCACTTTTATATATATATATATATATATATATATATATATATATATATATATATATATGTGCATTTCATTGAAAACGACAGATAAGGTGTTTTTTTTTTGTTTTTTTTTTACAATTTCTCATGCGATCTAAAAAAAAAAAAATTCTTTTCGGATGATAAATTATATAAAAACTCTCCGAATGTTCTTTTTATCCGAGCGCTTTCGGCTATACATTTAGCTATTTTCAAGGATTATATTTAACTGTGAAAATTAGAAATAGTTTGTTGCATGTATGTTTTATAAAATGTTTTCATTTTTTTTGTTTCAAAACACGGTCAAGATATTATGTCCATGTTCAAAGTTAATATTATTAAGTGTTGGTTTGTTTGTTTTTATTAATAAGGCTTTCATTATTTTTAGCTTTTTTTTTTTGCATGTAAGATGATGCTATTATATTAGTGTTGTCAACAAGTATGTTACGAATAGTGTCCGGTGGGTCTCCATAAATATTTAAATGAGATCTAATTGAGCTATGGTCAGAAAGGTGTAGGGTTAGTCTGCATGTCAAACATGTAGTGTGGCCTATATAATTATTTACGAATTTTGATTGATCAAGAATACAATTCCTTAATGGGCATTTAAGTTCGTAAATAATATTAGATATTAAATATTATTAGATCGCATGAGAAATTGTATAAAAAACTAAATAAAAGCAACTTGTCTGTCGTTTTCAATGAAATGTGCATGAAAGAAGGATTGCTGCCTAAATACACAAATATATATATATATATATATATATATATATATATATATATATATGCAGTAGCGGGCATAATATAAGGAACGGAAACAACAAAGACATAAAATATGTATATTACTTAAAAAGTAATGCATGATTAGCAATGAATTTTTTTACCGAATAAAGATTAGGGTGTAATGCATAAATATTATGCAAATTTACAAAAATTTACATAATAGTTTTTTTTAAAAATAAAGATTAAATGGAACAAAGGAAATAAGGAATTATGGCCGCTACTGTATATATATATATATATATATATATATATATATATAAAGAAGTACATTCAGACATTGTCAGTGCATCATGGGGACCAAATTGCTTCTCTTTTTTAATTTTCTTCAATTTTGCAAATTAAATATTAACTAAATTTAGCTAGTAATTGAATTTAAATTCAGACATTCTATCAGTATCTGTCTATATTTCTGAGATGATGTATTATGTTACATTATTTACATTATTCGGACTATTGTCCTCATCTTTGTCTACATATTTATTACAACATTTCGGCCGTTATACGCTCCGGCCTTCTTCAGGTGGTTGGAATGTCGAACTGAACCCTTATTTCCGAATAATGTAAATAATAGACATTCTATCGCCAATATATAAAGCATTGATTTCTATCTATTCTGTGAATGCTGGTGTGTTTATTTCCATTTCTTTTCAGGGTAAATGATTTGCTTTTATGACTTCCATATTTTGACTTCTTGAGTAATTTCAAATCTGACATTACCTGACATGTCACGTATTTGCTCGGGTGTGCTAACGTCTCCGTCAACGAGAAATTCGGTGCTTCTCATTGGCGGAAAGTTGTGTTAAAACCTGTCGTCATATACAGTTCAACTCATAAACGTTACTCTAAGCTCTTTTTTTATATGGAAAGTTAAAATGACCATGACCAAATTTTATCATTTCTCAAGGGATATTTAACAATCAGAACAGATATTATCGGATATTATTTACTTTACTATTTACATCATAGAAACTGTGTGGTTAAAAAGTATGACTATGTTTTTTCCTCCTAATATGTACCGTCGCAGGGTCGCTGTGTACTAATCATAACTAGTAGTGGGGTGATACTGATTGGGGGCCCCAGGCAGTGCTTTGTGACACTTGCTATCTTATGGACATATATTTTCCTACTTACATTTATAGACGTTACAGATTAAACTAACCACAGCTGACAGGATGATTAATTTTCACGATTTTTGATGTCATTCTGGGGACTTTGTTTTTTTTTTCTTTGTTTTTTTTCCCCCCAAATCCGTGAATTTGTTTTGCTTATGTTAAGTCTCGAAAAAACGCTATACAAAATTCTCTCTATTTTTGTTTTATTCATAATGTGTTAAAATTATTCAACGAAATAACCAAATTCAAGAAAATAACCTTGTTAATGTTTTAAATTGTCGCGAAGAATTGTTGATTTATTTAAAATGGAATGATCTATTATGACATGTCTCTAATTTGTATTTAGATACATTGTATTTATTTTCAGTTTTTCTAGTTGAATCGGTCACGTATATTGCATATGATCCATTATTGGACATAATTATTTTACAACAAAATTTGTATTTTATATGAATACAACCTTATGAAAATTGAGCTCTAGTAGAAAGGAGGTACCTGTAATCCTTTCTAGGATACAACGGTTCAAAGCTTAATCTAACAAACAGACAATTTTGCTTTTACACGTTTTGAACAATTTTGCTGTT